CAAACATTAAACTTGTTAAACTTGACAAGAGTGGAAGTAAAACCAAGAACATGTTAGTCCAAGTTTGTGGGGGATAATGCTATGAATAAAATTGTAGTGTACAAGTGGATTAAACTTTTTTCTGAGGGGAGAGAAAGCATCACTGATGAAAAATAGTCTGGGGGCAGCACCTGTGGCTCAGGGAGTAGGGTGCCGGCCCCATATACCAAGGGTGGCAGGTTCAAACCTGGTCCTGGCCAAACTGTAACAACAACAACAAAAATAGCCAGGTGCCTGTAGTCCCAGCTACTCAGGAGGCTGAGGCAGGAGAATCACCTATGCCCAAGAGCTGTGATGCCATGGCACTCTACCAAGGGCAAATAAAGTGAGACTCAGTCTTTAAAAAAAAAGAAAGAAAGACAAGAAAAGTGGTCATGGCAGCCAGTAATGAGCAGAACTGATAAAAAAAATTGCAAAAATTCAATAAATTGTGTGTCAAAATCATTCATTGGTGCTGGGCAGGTGGCTCACACCTGTAATCCTAAAACTCTGGGAGGCTGAGTCAAATAGATTGTTTGAGCTAAGGAATTTGAGACCAGCCTGAGCAAGAGTGAGATCCCATCTCTAAAAATAGCTAGCTGTTGTGGTGGGCACCTATAGTCCCAGCTACTTGGGAGGCTGAGACAATAAGATTGCTTATGCCCAAGAGTTTGAAGTTTCTGTGAGGTATGACCCCAAGGCACTCGACTGAGGGGGACAGAGGGGGACAAAAAAATATTGACTGGTTATGAGGAGCATAGAAGTCCAGTAAACATCAATAGAGAAACAGAAAAATTTTAATGGAAAATCTTGGTGTGAGAAAAGTATGTGCAAAAATGGTCCCAAAGGAGCTCACCAGTGAACACTGTCAGGAGGGAGTTCTCAGCCAGTAAACAAATAACTATTGGAGCACCCTCCCTACTCACCTGATCTGGCCCCAGTGACTTTTTTCTTTACCCAAAGATAAAGGAAATGCTGAAAGGAAGACATTTTGATGACATTTGGGACATCAAAGGTAAAGGTAGTTCCAAAATTGCTTTTAAGGGTGTGCTAGGCACTGGCACCTGTGCGTAGTTTCCCACGGGGAGTACTTCAGAGGTGACTAGAGGGATATTCAACAATGAGGTATGCAGCACTTTTTCTAGAATGAGTTTGAGAACTTTATTGTCAGAACTCATATATCTGTAGAAGATCCGGTTAGTTATTAGTCTATACAAACTGCTTAATATGGATATGAATTTGCAATAACTCTAAAGAGGTCTGGAGTTCCCATACACATATATGTTTCATACACTGATCCCCAGTGTCTGTGATGTACAAGTATAATTGATCATACTTAACTCCTTAGGATCCTCTCAGAATTTTTATGTGGCTGTTACACTAAGGTGATCTTACACTTCCCCTTATCAGAATTGTGGCCTACTCCATGAGAACTGAGCAAACAAAAGCAACATATACTATAGGAGTGTTACCAAAAGAAAGTTTGGCACTTGTTCCCGAAGTCACATAAGAAAAAGAGGGACAGGCTTGGTGCCTGTGGCTCAAGTGGCTAAGGTGCCAGCCACATACACTTAAGGTGGCGGGTTTGAATCCAGCCGGGGCCCACCAAACAACAATGATGGCTGCAACCAAAAAATTGCCAAGCATTGTGGTGGGCGCCTGTAGTCCCAGCTACTTGGGAGGCTGAGGCAGGAGACTTGCTTGAGCCCAGGAGTTAGAGGTTG